TTATTTTATATTTTTATCTATTTTTTACCTTTTTCATGTTTGTCCTTTTTAATATTTAAATCAATGTTATTAGTTATTACTAATCTCAATTAAAAATAAAATTATTTTATTTTATTCCCATACCCAATATTACACATTTCTTGTGAAATATTATTTTGAACTTAGTTTTGACTTTTGTTTTAAAGTCCATTTTCAATTTTCAATTTACAAAATATTTAAAACCTTAAAAATACGCCCACGAAAATTATACGCCCGGGGATAAATCCCTGGGGATCCGGCCCTGGTTACATAGTTGAAATAGTAGTACCTACAATGATAAGATATATTTTGTACAAACAAACAAATGAATTGACAGTGATTGTAAAACCGTAATGAATACATAAAACCGTGTTTAGAATAATTAGTTAAAAATGCAATAGTTAAGTTACATTATGTACTTTGTACTTAACATTATATTTTTTCTATATAAACAATTTAATAGTTAAATTAAATTTATACACATTATAATATATTTTTTTATATACAGACATGCAATTAGTAAGAAATGCAATAGTTAAATTACAATTATGTACATGACATTATACTTTTTTTTAAATAAACAATTAATTAGGTAAAAATACAATAGTTAAAATACAACGATGAAGGGACATGACATAATATAATGGTATAAAAATTTAGTAGTAAAAATATTCATACAGTAAAGTAATATTATAAAAATTTAAAAAAAACAGTAACTATAATTTGTAAAATAACGTAAGAAAATCGAAAAAAAACATGCTTACCTACATAAATACATATAATACTAATACATAAAAAATGAAATACCTATGGTAGATTAATTAACAAAAATTGAACATACACAAAGTAAAGTTAAAATAATAATAATAATTAATAGTAAAGAGAAGAGATCGAAAATTTGTAAAATTACGGGAAAAAATGCAAAAAATATTTGGGAATCGACGGCCGTGTAATATGGCAATGACCGCCACGACGCCCCGAGAGCGTACGACGGGCTCGAACCCGGGACCTACGTGTTTTCTACCTAACGCCTAACCTACTCGGACACAATTTGAGATATGAATTACGGTCAAAACATCAACACTTAAGCCTTGCGTTTAAGGAGCGACGTAAGCCGATATATTCGATGTTCATCGATGTAATCGCATATAATTCGCTTGTAATACGCGCATCTCTCATATATATATATATTTAACGGAGCTCGTGAAAAGCGTTTTCCGTTAATAATTATTAAATCAATAGGCAAAAATTAAATTATACACGTATATACATGTATTATACTCGTACGGTCGGTCGTAATTTCTAAACGCGATTGCGAAGCGAACCGACCGATTTCGTAAGAAAAGCGTATATATACGGCTTTAGAAAGACGTCAACTACACGATTCGGGCACGAACGACGTGCGAAAAGACGAAACTGTCGGAGAAAACGAAAGAAATCATCAAAAAAGTCCGGCCGGGAGCGTATTTTGCGATCGACATTGCGACGGCTACGGACGGCGAACGGATATAAACCGCACACCGGCGGCTTCGAGAGATCGCGAGCTACGCGAATCAAATATAAATATGAGCGAAAAAGGCTAGAAAACGGTCGAAATCGTGTACAAAGTGTAAATTTCGAAAATTTCAAAAATGATAAGAAAAGAAGTGATAACGCGGTTATTGCCCGCCGCAGAATCTGAACGTTGCGATTGGCCGGGCCGGAAAAACGACACGAAAGTCGTCTATCCCCGTGGACAAAACTGGGGACTAACCTCGTTTTATAATATAAGAGATATTATTTAATTTTATATACATGTAGTATATACATTTATGGTGGCATAATGCCACAATGGTTGTTTGTAACAGGTTGTTATGATTTTTTTTTATTAAATATTAATTGAAATTATACATGACATATTACATTATATTTTTGTACCTTTTCGCCAAATTAGAAAAAGTAACTCTGTATAATGCATACTCATGAGTAGTAAATAATACTCAACCTCTCTCTCCCTCTCCTATAATAAACTTTTTTCAAACACGTATAAACACCTATTATCTTTATCAACTACACATAAATTGATAGAATATAAATATAAAATATTATGTGGGTAGTGCATACATTACATACAATTTTGAATTTACTTTATGTTATAAACAGTGTCGGCCTGGCATGTAAAAGGCCTCGGCCACAATTTTTCCCTGGAGTCTCAATTTTTATCATATACCTACTATGATTATGCCTATGGTAGTAGATAAGTATATATTCTTCTCCTTCTCCTCCCACCAACTACCAGACGATAAGTTAACGGGCTATATTTTGTTAGAAAACTAATGGTGTGCACAGAACTCAAAATTAAAGTTGCGATAAATAAAAACTCTATGAGAAAAACTAAATAAAATGTTATGAAAATATAAAACACCTAGGTATATATATATATATTAAAATTAGATGTAGGTATGTAATTATAATTTATAATTCACTCAAACTATTAAAAATAAACATATAAGTACATATTCATTAAATAAATAATGTATTTATTAATATTAATCAGCATTAAAATAATAAAATGTAATCTTCTCTTATCCTCCCATTTGTCATATTGCCTGAATTGTATACTGCATTACTGCCACACCAATACAACTAAGACCTAAGTTATAAGTTACAACCACTAATATCAGTTATCAATATATTCAAAATTATAAATGCAGTACCTACCTATCTATAAAGTTAGGTTTAACATCAAAATGTTTCGACTTCTTATGAAACTTAATTGTAGAAACTATGAACACTATCTGTGTTCACACCCTACTCGGCACAGACCGCCATTGGTTAGTCACTGATTTTTGTATGTTATGTGTTAGTAAGACAGAGAAAAGACATACGATTACAATGTCCTTTTAAATACTAATTTACAATTTTTTTAAACTTAAAATTTAAAGGTGAAACCAACATATTTTATTTTATTGCAATCGTTATTTCATTATTTGATATCGAAATCGAAAATAAATAAAACTGGTATTCAAAGTCAAAACGGAAAACATGATTTCTCGAAATCGTTATTTGAAATTTAAATCAAAATCGAAAATGTATAAAATCGGTATGCAAAGTTAAAACAGAAAAACGTAATTTACCGAAAACGGTATTTTAAATTGAAATCAAAATCAAAAATATATAAAACCGGTATGCAAAATCAAAACGGAAAACATAATTTCTTGAAATCGTTATTTAAAATGGAAATCAAAATCAAAAATATTGAAACCGGTGTGCAAAGTTAAAATGGAAAAACGTAATTTATCAAAAACGTTATTTCAAATTTAAATCAATACAATTAGTATTCAAAACCGGTATGCAACGTATTAATTGAAACCACAATTTTTTAAAACCGTTATCTGAAATCAAAATCGAAATCGGTAAAACTAAATACCGGTAACCGAAACCGAAATTGAAATCCAAAAAATTTTTTTCGGTTTCAAGCCCTGCTTACCTATATAGATACCAAAGTAGACACACTATCATAAAATATATTACTTATTTCATATTTGTTTGTTTTTTTCTTATAAAGTTTTTATATCTATTTTCATTTAACTTATTTACTTCAATATATTAATAATTATTATGTAATTATTTCTACAGTGTTTTTGGTGAACATGAAAATATAAGTCAGTGTCCATTTAAGAATAGAGAAACTGAAGATGATTTAGGAGTTATGTATATTGGTTATATACTTGAACAAGTTAATCTGATCCTGCATTATTATTCACCAAATCAAACTCAGATTTCTACTCATGCTATATAACTGGGAACAGCGTTATCCAAGGTAATAATTATAGTTATATGAACAGATTATTTGATTTTTATAAATAATGCATTTTATCTTTAAAATTAAAAACAACTGATTTATTATTATAGAAACAATATCCCAAGATTTTAATTCACTACAAGGTGATAAGTATGCACAAACGGAACATATTATATTCTATCTGCAATTAGGGGACTCACAAAATATAAATTATTGAACAATTCTATGTCAGCTGGAAGTTGTATATTTTTAGCTGCTAACTGCATTGATGTTAGAATGTACAATTTTAATCCTATTTTTACTAAGAAATTCATTGAACTCACGGCTGGTACTCAACCACTGACAAATTATAAATATTATACTATATGTAATATTGAAATGTGGTAAATTGGGTTCAATTTAATACAAATATACTTCGCTTAGCCGCAGCCCGCAGACCATCTCCAATCTAACATTTTTTATTAATTATTTATATTATTATTTTTATTATTATCACTATGTGTCTGGACCGGGTACAAAAGAGAGGAAACATCATTGTTGGCCGAGATTAAAGTTCATTGTCTATTTCAGACAAACATTGTGGTCAGTATAAAGATGTGTACAGTGCTTGAATTGAAAAGAAGGGGGGATGCAGAAATATAAAAAAATGTTATACTAATATACTGTAATATTTAAATTTCTTAATGATTACAGATCAAGATATAATTAGAAAAGAAATTTTACACTAAAATATATTTAAGCAGGGGTACTCCGTCCCCCTTTCCACAATTCAAGCACTGGATGTATAAGAAAAATGCAAGACGATTTTAAGTAATAGTTTTTATATTTTACAAAGTGGCCATGCCACCTGCACTGCCGCCGCCTCCCTTATCACCACCACCACCTCGCCGACGAAGCTCCCGCTGATATCTCCCAGGACGCGGTTTCTTGGCCTGACACAGCTTTATGTACTGGAGAAGCTGTAACAATGTTATTGATGAATTAATATAATGTGTCATGGCCATGCATCTAAGTAGTAATTATATTAGAGATCAGCACACTTCATAAATTAAAATATATTGGTAAGGCCTGGTCGGGTTGGACTTAAAATAAAAAAATAACGTCTAGGCCTGGTAGGTACAATTTTTTAAGTCAAGTAAATTGGCCTAAAAAAGACAACCAGTGCTGATCTCTACTAAATATTACAATAAATTAAATCTCACCATTTGCATGTTTGGATTTCTTTTTGCCCCAGACCAACCGCGTCCTGGTCGATTTGCCTTGCCACCACGGCCACCCCGTTGCAAGGGGTGGCCGGATGACACCGGTGACAAGCTGCGCCGACTTGAGTTTGTGTCGGTGTTTGACGGCGACCTCCTGCTGCCGTAGTCGCGGCGCCGATGGCCGTCGTCGCGGCTAAGTGACCTCCTGCTGCAGTCATCGCGCTAGGTGGTATGCCGCCGTCATTGCGGCTAGGTGACCTGCCGCCGCCGTCAACAACTTCGCGGGTAGGTGGATTATTTTGGATGTCCATGGTTCTTTAATTTTAAAAATGTAATATATTATAATATAATTAATTAAGGCTATAATTTTAAAAGTGTGTTCAATAATTAAATGTATTAATTTTAAGCATAGTTGTTATATTTTATATCATATAATTTTTAATTATTTCCATTTATGTACGTATATATTATAATTCTAATGACATTTTGAGAATAATTAGACTGTTTAATGTTAAATAAGTATATTTAAATGTTTAAGCCTCTTACATTTACCTAGCCCATGTCTGATGTCAGTACCAACAGTGGGTATACGAGTACACAATTTTTAGTATATTTACTTATTTTTTAACACTATACAGAAAACTAACGTTATTATTTTTACATTTTTACATTAAGTCTTAAAAATCATCTATCAATTAATATTATAAATGTAATAATACGAGTACCCCTTCATCAAAAGGAACAGAACATTTTAAAATGTAATATTTTTATTAGCTGAAAACCCAGAATGTATTAAGTAAAGTAAATTAAAAGTAAAAATTTTTATTTTTTACTTTAAAAAATTTGTTTGAGAAATTTTCAATTAACTGGTAAGTTGTTAAAATCTGAAATACCTAGTAAAGTTTTAACTTTTCATTCAAATTAATGAGTTAATTAAAAAATGTTGACATTTCAAAAAACAATAAAAATAAACCACTTGAGTCAGACAAATGTTTTTACAATCAAGTTTTCAAAAAACAGATTTAAAAAATAGTTTTTTTCAAAAAAAGTTTAAATTTGATTTAAAAATGTTTAATTTCCGTAATAAATATAAAAATAAAAAATGGTATATTGTTTTATGATACATGTAGCGCAAACGTCAATAAATGTTATATAAAAAAAATTAAATTATATAGTAAAAAAAAATTAAAAGTATAATACTTACAACAAGGATACAAACTATGAAGACGAGTGGACTAGTACTACAACAAGGATACGAACTACGATGAAGACGAATGGACTAGTACTGGACACTAATGCTGACAGTAGAATGATAAATGGAAATCGACGAGTGGCGAGCTTACTGTTTTTTTCCGAAACGAATATCCCCACTCCCCGTTTTAGTATTAATACTTAATACTTAATAGTACAAAAAGCCTGATCTAATACGTAATGTTTATATTCCATATTTTTCAATTTTCAGGGATACCATTTCCAAAGAAAAAAACCGTCAGGAGTCGTAACTTATGACTAGAGACAGGATTAATTTAACTATCTTATAATTTTTTTAAACTGTTACTATTATTTTTTTTCAGTACCTAGTTATATACATTTTTTGCAAAAAAATAATTTTTATGCATAGGTTCTTAAATAAGATTATTTTGTTGAAATAATTAGGCATAATCATAAATTGCATTCAACTATCATAATATTATTACTTAGCTTTACACAAAAAAAAAGGCCATGGGGGGATATATTGAGGTAGGGTGCATATGCATTCGAGTCACCGTAATGAAACTGCTAATAAGAAATAATTTTATTATGGTTCTATAAACATAACAGAATAGAATATCTTACGATTTATCTACATATACATCGATATACATTGTATATTAATATATTAATATATAATATAATATAATATATGTGATGGTGTGTTATTTTTTTCAACGTATCGTAATAATAAATAATTGCATGATTTATTTGCTGGTGTCCTGTACAAACATGCTAAGACATGTTCAAATCCTTTGATTATCGTTATGAAACAATAATAATAAAAACATTACATTTATGAAGTCTAACCGGTCGATCGCGGACAATTTCAAAGTCGATCATGTTAGAATTTATTTTTAGGGACACGCGCACGAATTGTTATCGAATTGTTGATAAGTTTTATCTGTTTAATTTTAATCTGGTTTCGTGTGTCAAATGTTTATCGGTCACGAATGTTCATTTCACTGTGTTCTGTTGGTGTCTGTTGTGTTTAAAATTTATAATTATGAGTGCACATACAAAACAAAAAACTTATCATTTTCATCAAGAATGGGAAATGGATTCCTACCTATTCACTACACAGTGGTCATCACCTATCACGATCTAATCAATCAGTGAGTCAGAGTGAAGGCGTCAAAGTATGACCCTTTTTTAAGACTGTATGATAATTTATAGGGCCATAACAAAGTTACGGCCATATTCAAAAATTGCTCAAATTATCAATTTGCAATTGATGCAATACCTAAAGATACCTATTGGCTTTCTCACCTATTAGATGAGGTCGCCTGAGTTCGGACAAATTGCACGGTCGGTTTTCAACCTTATAAGTATCATATGTCCACTAGACATTTAAAGCATTATGAAAATAGACATTCATAATGCATACGATAAAACGAATGTCTTACCTTTTTTTATGTATTTGGTACATTTTTTAAGACATTTTTATTTAAATGTAACTATTTTTAACAATAATTATTATTTTAAATAGTGTATAATAGTATTTATGAATTAATTTATAGAACAACCATTAGAAATGATTTAAATAGCTCCATCTGTAGAAAAATATTGTATTCTTTTTTATATGCATACCAACTAATGACTATAAAAAAAATAGACGATTGTATTAATCGGTTTTATTTATAGTTCAAAAATCAGAACATAGATGGCTCATGCCAATTAAGAACAATGTACATTATTCATAATCCTATACTAAACCAATAATAAAATACATCGTAATACTAATTCAAAAATTTAACAATAGCACCTTAACTTAAAAATATTAACGTTAATATTTTAAAGTGATAACACTGATAAAAGTATAATTTAATAGAAAGCGTATAAGCGTATTTTCTACAGGGCACATTTGATTTTTAATTTCGTCGCTTAAAACAAAAAAAATCACAAAATCTTGGGAAAATTAGTCAAATTCAACATCGTATTATAATGTGGTTTTTAATACAATTTTAAAAATCCAAGTTCAATGCGCCCTGTAAGTAATGTTTCTTTCAAAAAAAAAAAATTATCGAAATCGGATCATGGAGACATGAGATTTTTTCCTTGTGAACAATGTTTATGACTTTTCAGCAAAAAAAACAGGTCCCGAGCAAAACAGGCCCCTTATACTGAATTCGTTCCGATATTTCATATTCACAATCTGTTAGTCATCTCTTAATTCTCTAGGGAGACCAATGTTAAATAAACATATTATAGGTTTTATAAAAAACTTTATTGTAAAAAAAAATACTGTTCATATTAATTAATATTGAAATAATATAGACTCTAGTACCTATGGTATCCTAATATCCTATCGAGTAGTTATGGTTTATACTCATATTATAAAAATTATGTATAAACTGAAAAAAAAAATGTATTATTTAATTTGATTGCATTTTTCCCGATCTTAATTTTATTAATTATAATAATATAGATACATTAATAACTTTCTTATTTATTGGACTGATTGGAGAATTGAAAATAAAGCCCCCCCCCCAAATACGTGCCTGGTCTTACACCTGTAAAACCAAGACAATTTTCGTTCACCGGTTACAATAGTGTGCTGTTAGTTTTGATATTTGAGTGAATTGACATAATATTATCAAACTTTTATCTGTGTTCTCTAATTTGTTTTTTACGACGATTCTCTTAAAACATTAAAATATCGTAACTAGATGCGTGACCGCGGGGCGAAAACGGCAACACTATCGACAATGTTATTATAGTTACTAGTTAGTAAGAGGACGTCCGTCCAATCGTCCAACGTCGAATTGTTTCTTTATAATATTAATATTATAATAGTCAATAGATCATACGAAATAAAATGTTGTGTGTAAATGTGTAATAGAATAATATGACAGAATAGAAGACGTGGGAATTATCGATAACGTTGTAGGCGGGAAGTGGAGTGGTGGCTGCATCGTCGACTGCAGTCGTTGACAATTGGGTTTTTGCAGTCTAAAAATATTTTCATAAACATGCGACCCCGCCGGCGTACACCACTACCCCACCTTGCCAAGACAATATTATAATAAAACGAAATTATTTGTCCGTATTCTATACGAGCATAATGTAATTGTTTTTTAAAATTATTTAACTGGATTAAAACTGGGCTACACTACTTACTTGCAAATTGTAAATACGGTACAAAAAACGAATCATTCGAAGTTTTTCGGGACGAGACATGATAAAAAGGCGTAAGGCGCCATAAGGTGGTGGTCGTAGACTACTGACTATATTATTATAGTTGTGTATTCGTGAATGCGGGTTCAGTTTTTGCATACAATATCAGCCGCGGCACGTTGATAGACGGCATAGTACATACATTATAATATACAAATTACATAAAATTAGTTTCATAACGCATTATTTATTAAAATTTTGAATTAAACATTCACACTGTTTAATAATTGCTCACCCAATTTTGTACGACGCTTTACGTCAGAAACAAAAAAAAAATAAACACTCATCGTAGTAAACTAATAAATATTAATTAAATAATATGTAATTACACTAGATCAGTGTGATGGTTTAAAAAAAATAAGGAAACAAACAGTGTTTAACTATAATGAATAGATAGAAATGATGATAGAAACATAATTATATAATTTGGTACCTACATAAACTACCAACCATGGTTAAAGTGACGTTCGAGTATTGATTAACCGTTTCCCACGGCCAAACCATTGAAGGTTATCAATTGACAATTATTAGTTATTATTAATGCGATGTACAGTACTACAATACTACAACGGAGTGTATGCATGTGCCACTATGACTTGTAAGTTGTATACCTAAAGCGTCACCAAATAATGTATACATTTGAAAATAAAAACAGGAATATTCTATCTGTTTATTATATTTTATTTAACTGAATTTTTTATTCTGAATTAGTTTTATTGCTTCCACTTGTTAGTGTGTTACTACTTTAAGTATTCAATTTTTTTATAATTTATAGAATTATCAGGTTTCTATAGCCATAGGTTTTCTATAGGAAAAACATGAACCTGCCAGTCAAAAACCATGTTATACGACAAAAATTTAAGTAAAAGTATGTTTTGTTTTTATCATTTAAAATAAAAATGTGAGTGGAGAAAAAATTGATAAAATTTATAATTAATTAAAAATACATTTCAAAAGTTATAAAATTTAAGAAATATGTCCTAAAACAAAAATAACTCAAAATACGCATTTATATCGAACCCCGACATTTCGCCGCGAAGGGTTAACCTCCCCAAGAAATTTCAATAATACCAATAATGTACCCAGGGACGTCATTTGGGGGGGGGGGTTACAGGGTGTACATTTGCACCAACTTTGTTTTAGAACGCCTTCTTTGGCCTGGCAACAATAAATAAAAGCGCAGATATACCTAAGTGTTTTATATTATATATATATTTTATATTTTTTCAGAATTAAAAAAAAAATGTATTGTACTAATTTTTAATTTCCAAGAATGTTTAATGTGGCTTCTGGTCCATCAATATTATAATTGATAAAATTATTACACAAATATTGTGAAGAAGGGTATTCATAAAATATATTTATGATTTTATTAAGCTAGGTAGCTATATTGTATTTTTTGAGTATACAGGGATAAAAAATGTGTAGGTTAGGTTTGGTTAGGTATTTTATTATAAAGGTGTTTTATACCCATACATTTATTTACCGAGTGTAAAACACTGTACACTGTTATCCAAAATATAAAATAAATATATTAAAAGTACCTATACACAGTGCACATAGTTTTTCAAAAATAGTAACAATGGTGTGATATTTTCATACTAATATAAGTGACATATTAAATTAATTATACAAATATTCTAGTTTTGCCCCACCCTCCAAAAAAAAAAAAGTTGAAATGACTCCCCTGGATGTACCTACCTATAATTTAATATACGTATAACAATAGGTATTAGGTACAAAGATTATACAATTATTTCAAACCTCACCACCCATATATATATATTGTAATTTGCATTATATTATTGGGGTAAGGCGTATATGCATTCGAGTCACCGTAATGAAACTGCTAATAAGAAATAATTTTATTATGGTTCTATAAACATAACAGAATAGAATATCTTACGATTTATCTACATATACATCGATATACATTGTATATTAATATATTAATATATAATATAATATAATATATGTGATGGTGTGTTATTTTTTTCAACGTATCGTAATAATAAATAATTGCATGATTTATTTGCTGGTGTCCTGTACAAACATGCTAAGACATGTTCAAATCCTTTGATTATCGTTATGAAACAATAATAATAAAAACATTACATTTATGAAGTCTAACCGGTCGATCGCGGACAATTTCAAAGTCGATCATGTTAGAATTTATTTTTAGGGACACGCGCACGAATTGTTATCGAATTGTTGATAAGTTTTATCTGTTTAATTTTAATCTGGTTTCGTGTGTCAAATGTTTATCGGTCACGAATGTTCATTTCACTGTGTTCTGTTGGTGTCTGTTGTGTTTAAAATTTATAATTATGAGTGCACATACAAAACAAAAAACTTATCATTTTCATCAAGAATGGGAAATGGATTTTTTTTTTACAATGTTGAAAGACAAGTGCATATGTTTGATATCTCAAATAACAATATCCACAACAAAAAAAGGTAATCTAGAAAGACATTTTAGAACTACGCATTCAAAATTTGATATAGATGTCCCTCCTAAAACTGAAGTACGTAAAAATCAATTAGAAAAAGTAAAACTTGAAATTGATAAACAACAATTGATTTTTACTAAACCAGTTTTAAAATCCAAAGTAGCAACAATTGCTTCATTTCGAATTATTCATGTTTTAGCTAAGAATAAAAAATCATTTTAAACCGGTGAAATAGTAAAACAAGCTTTTTTAGAAGGCGCAGATGCTTTATTTGAAAACTTTAAAATTAAATCAGAAATTTTATCAGCTATAAACGACTTACAGTTATCTCGTAAAACTGTGACTAGAAGAGTAGTATCTATAGGACAAAATTTAGTTGAAATATTAAAACAAGACATCAAAGAATGTGTTTATTTTTCACTTCAATTCGATGAATCAACAGACATAACAGATACCGCTCAACTATGTATATTTATACGACTAGTTTTTTTAAAATTTTAATTCAAAAGAAGAATTATTAACTATAATCCCTATGAAAAGTACGACACGAGGTGTGGATATTTATCAAGCTTTTATTAATTTTGTCAATAAATCAAATTTACCTTTGTATAAATTAGTTTGTATTACGACTGACGGGGCTCCAGCTATGATAGGTAAAAATAATGGTTTTATTGCTTTGTGTAAGAATGATAATAATTTTCCAAATTTTATAACGTTCCATTGTGTGATACATCAACAAGCATTGTGTGGAAAAATATTGAATACAATTATTATAAAGGACATTGCTTTTAAAATAGCCAATTCTATACGTTCACGAAGCTTGCATAGGCGACTTTTTAAATTACAATTAGAAGAAAACGATTTTCAGCATTGTGATTTATTACTGCATACGGATGTTAGATGGTTGAGCCGTGGTAAATTTCTAGAGAGGTTTCAATGTTTACTTCCTGAAATAATAGAGTTTTTAAAATCCAGAGGCGATAATTATGATTGTTTAACAAACAATACATTGATACGGAGTGTCTTTCCGGGGACGTCCGTGATCGTAAATAATAATACTTCGAATATCGTTATAGTCCTTTATTGCATAATCAATAGATTGTATTGTAATATCAGGGGCAAGTTAATCCCGGGCCGCGCGGCTGGCTTGAAGAAGCGGCCGCAGCGGGCGGGTTCGGGCCTGAAGAGGCGCGAGTCAAAGACAATAGTAGGGACGAGGCAATACGTATTGTAGAATGATACAATAATAATGGGAGAGTTAGAATCGTCCACACACGGGCTCGAGCAAGTCGTGCGTGGTACGATTCCTCCTCGCGGTGACACTTGAGCAAGCTCACCGAAGGGGGGACGTGATACTACTTGTCGTCTCCGTGGAGAATCGATTGATCGGGCCCCGTCGCAAGGTCGGTTGCCGGTGAGTCCTGGTGCTCGTTCGTAGGCGTGGGTTGGCCCCGTGTGAGTCTTCGGGACGTCGATACTGAGTCGTCGAAGGATGTTGCAGTATTCGTAGTAGTCGATGAATCGGTCGGGCTTAACCTGGAGATCGTCCGTTGGCGTCGACCGATAATCTCGAAATGGGTTCCGGTGATTAGCTGCGGGCACCAGCTAGTCAAACTGAATGTGCACCGTCCGTCAGCGTGTAGTGGACAGCTCTGGTCGACGTCGTCGGTCGGTTTTGACGATGCCCGTTGGTCGGGTTCACTTGGTGCCATTGAATCTCGACGGTATCAGGCAGTCGAGCCGGGCGGTGTGATCGATGTATGCCGTCGTCGGTGTGTTAAGCTGAATTAGCTTCGTCGGCGTTGGTCTCGTTCGGTAGGGCAACGTGTTGCTGTTGCGTCGGGCGGTCTTCGGGTCTTCAGATCTTCTTTCTCCTATAGTGCTTGAGTTGTTGACTTGTAGAAGATAGATTGAAGACTGGTTGAAGAAGATGATGTGACCTGCTTTGCTTTGCTTTGGGGGGGATGGCTAAGCCGTGAAACTATACCAGGCTTTTGCCTCTACTAGTGGATGGATGTTTAGGAAGGTGGTTTTAAATTTGTTAGTCAACCCATATCAAAGGGTAGGGTTTGATTCTACACTTTGTGGTTGGTGGGGTGTGAGATTTCCCTAAGAGTCGGATGTGGGCATGAGTAGAGAAAGAGTTTTAGTATGCATACCCGTTATCGTGCGAATGCCGATGTTTTGAACAGATTCGATACGTCTCCAATGTGAGGGACCGATAAAAGGTGCCCAAGAGGGGCCAGCATAAGAAAGAATTGGAGAGACGTAGAGTTTTAAAATACAGTCGATTCCGCTTAATAGAGACACCGGTTAATAAGGACAACCGCTTAATAGGGACAATTCTTCAATTACAAAAACAAATGTATACTTGTAGGATAAACATTCGCCGCTTATTTGGGCCACGAATCCGGATAATTGGGACATTTTTTATCGAGTATATTAATAAATCAATAGTTCAACAATCGTGACGGACTCTCGTAATCGATTATTACATTACATTTTATCTTATTTAACTTTATTTTATCTTATCTTTTATCGTATGTTCAAATGTGATAGTTGTTAAATGTTATTTGGTGCAATGGTGCATCAGTCGTGTTTGTCGCGTGTAGCAACGATGGCTCGTGTACGTAAAGATTTATCGTTTGCTCAAAAATTAGAAATTCTGGACAAAATTAAATTACAGCTACCAGGCTGTAATATACGTCGTCTTTCGGAAATTTTAGGAGTACGGAAATCAACAGTTTTTTTAAATAAGATAAAATACATAATAAAAAAATAAAAAATATGTATATGTAAGTATTTTTATAAATAATTAGGTTAAATCATGTTTTTCTTTTTGTACTATCAAATAATTTCTATAATACATTGTTTGTAATTTGTAATAATAAAAATATATAAAACAATTCAGTTTTTCAACAAATTTATATGTTGGTTTTTGTATTTCGGATTATTGGGACAACCGCTTTATTGGGACAAAATAACACCCAACTGATGTGTCCCAATAAAGCGGAATCGACTGTATTGAGTTTTGAAGATTTTGGGACGGGGCTAGAACGGTTGAGAATGGGGTAAAGAATTCCGCGAACGCGAGTGGCTTTTTTGGTGATGTCTTGAACGTGTTTGTCGAAGGTGATTTTGAGCCCTATTGTAACGCCGAGGTATTTGGCATGATTGGACCAAGTCACTGGATGGTTGTCGAATAGTAGTGGTGGGATATGAGTGGTATTTGAGTAGTACGTCCGAAAAGAATACCTATTGTTTTGGTAGGGTTTATTTTGATTTTCCAGCGATGAAACCATGTGGTAGCTAGGTTGAGTTGGTGTTGTAATTGTATGGCTGCACGTTTCGGGTTTTTGTCGAAAGTAAAGAACATAGTGTCGTCAGCGAATAGTGAGAGGTGAGCTTTAGGAGTTGTTGGTATGTCGTTAATGTAAGTCAAGTAGAGAGTAGGTGAAAGGCAGGATCCTTGAGGGACGCCTGCGAGTATGTGTCTGGTGGACGAGAATGAGTCTTCGATTTTTGTGACAAAAGTGCGGTCAGTGAGAAAGGATTCGATGATTTTAACGATTTCAGTCGAGATGTTGAGTTGGGACAGTTTGTAGAGGAGACCGACGTGCCAGACCCGGTCGAAGGCTTTTTCCACGTCAAGGAAAATGGAGGTGGTGTTTAAGTTGTCGTTAAAGTTCTGACTAAGTTGGTGAGTAAGTTTGGTCAGTTGTAGAGTGGTAGAGTGTTAAGGTCTGAAGGCAAATTGTTCTGGGCGGATTTTGTCTCGAAGATTGGTTTGAAGGTGAGAGAGGATGATTCGTTCGTAAATTTTTGATATGGAGGAGAGTAGAGCGATAGGTCTGTAATTTTCGGGAAGTTTGTGATCTTTACCCGGCTTGGGGATGGAAATTATTACTGCTTTTTTCCAAGCACGGGGAAAGTAGCAAATTCTGATGGAGCAATTTATAATTTGTGTTAAGGAAAGTAGAATGTTATTCGGTAGAAATTTAAGAGCAGTGTTGGTGATGAGATCGTCACCAGGGGCTTTATTTTTGCGGAGGTTGTTTATGATTTTTTGGATTGTGCCAGGAGTGGTGAATAAATTAGATTTGGTGATACTTATGTTTCGAAGTGAGTTGGAATGGGCAGAAACTTCTGGAAGGTCGGGACCAGGGTTTGGTTGGAATTGGAGTTCGAGAGAGTCGGCTATCAACTCGGCTCGATCGATGGCCGGAAAAACTAGACCGTTGGGGCCGGTAAGAGGGTGGGATGCAGGACGTTTGTGGAGGAGACATTTGTTTAGTTTGTATATGGAACCGTCCTGATGGTCAAGAGAATTAAGAAAAATGTCCCACTGGTCAGTTTTGTGAGTTTCGAGTAAAGTTCTGATTAGTGAGATTTTGGCGTTAAGTTGACGTTTGGTAGTCGGGTCACGGTTTCTTTGCCATTGACGGCGTAACTGGTTTTTTTCAGTTATTTCAAGTTTTATGTAGTCAGGTATTAAAAAGGAAGAGTTTTTGTGTTTAGGGGTAAATACGCTAGCTTCGATCGCGTGTTGTATGTTTTTGGTGAGAGTATCAATTGCCAAATCGATTGACTCACTGTTGGTGGCCGGTCGTTCAGTTGGGTTTGGTAAGTTGGATAGAATTGTCTTGTATTTTGTCCAGTTAATGAAGCGGTTAGTCGTTTGAGTACACAAGGTCTCCAGAAGGATAGGGTTGTGGTCAGAAGATATCTCGTTGAGTTTGTCGATTTGAGTAGGATAAGGTAGTCGAACGAGTGCGATGTCAAGTATGTCAGGTCTGTATCTAGCGTTTATCGGGAAGTATGTGGGGGATGAGGGAGCAGTAATGGTATAGTCCGATTGTTGAACGTGGTCGAAAAGTAGGCGACCGGCAGCGTTTGTCGAGTGGCTTTACCAGAGAGGGTGTTTGGCGTTGAAGTCACCGATGATGTGACCGGTGAAATGTCCCGGTATATATACACTCTATTTCATTATATCGTCCTGTGATTGGTCGAGTGTGGTTGTTTTGACAAGCAATAACCCCACCTCGACCCGTTGGTTTTCACTTCATTAGTGTGGTTTTTTTCCTGTTATTCTCGTGAAATTTACCTGTTGACAATATGTTCTTCTTTATGTGTTGGTTCAAGTACTTGAGTTCTTCTATATTGCCACACTGTTATGTTTGGTGGTCCTGAAAAGGACCATTTTGATGTAGTAACGGTTTATTCCGTTAAAACATGGCTTCAGAACTTAGCTTTTTTAACAGATATAACGGCTCATTTAAACACTTTAAATGTTGAACTTCAAGGAAAAGATGGGACAATAATTGAGTTATTGAGTTCTATAAATGGGTTTAAATCGAAATTGATATTACTCAAGTCACAATTAAATGAATCTAATTTGAATAATTTTCCAAACTTAAAAGATTTTTTTGAAAAGCAAAAATGTACAGTGACAGTGGCAATATATTGCTCTGAGGTTGAAAAAGTGTACAATGAATTTGAAAGACGATTTAAAGATATTCAAAAATTAGAGCCGATTATTACATTTATGTCTTTTCCTTTCTCCGAAACAAATAGTATTGACAATATTTCTACTCAAATAAGCAATTTATTTGATATGGATTCTACAAAATTTGAATCTGAAATTATAAAAATTAAATCAGATATATTCCTCTAAGCTCGAGGTTCTGAAACAGATTTTTGGAATTTTCTGAGTGAAGAAAAATATCCGGGTTTGAGAAATGTAGCTTTGCAGTTACATAGTTATTTTGGATCTACATATTTGTGCGAAACATCATTTTCTCACATGAAAATGATAAAAACAGAATTTCGATCTACGCTCTCTGATGACCATTTGGAGCAGTGTCTTCGATTAACAGTTAGCAACTATTCTCCAGATTACGACCAATTGGTCAACGACATGCAATGCCACACTTCAACAATGGCCAGATCAACAAAATAATATGTTAATTAAACTTAATATTTAATTAGATTTTAGAAATTATTATTTATTATTATTTTATTTTTAGTAATTAGTAATTAGTTAATAATACTTATTGTATGTTTATATGCACTTATTCAATAATAAAAAATTTTCTATAAAAGTCGATCCTCAAAGGTGAAGTATATTATTAGTAGATTGTGACCAAAAAAAGTTTGGCCGCGCCTGGTATGCACTTCATAAATGTAATGTTTTTATTATTATTGTTTCATAATGATAATCAAAGGATTTGAACATGTCTTAGCATGTTTGTACAGGACACCAGCAAATAAATCATGCAATTATATATTATTACTATACGTTGAAAAAAATAACACACCATCACATATATTATATTATATTATATATTAATATATTAATATACAATGTATATCGATGTATATGTAGATAAATCGTAAGATATTCTATTCTGTTATGTTTATAGAACCATAATAAAATTATTTCTTATTAGCAGTTTCATTACGGTGACTCGAATGCATATACGCCTTACCCCAATAATATAATGCAAATTACAATATATATATATGGGTGGTGAGGTTTGAAATAATTGTATAATCTTTGTACCTAATACCTATTGTTATACGTATATTAAATTATAGGTAGGTACATCCAGGGGAGTCATTTCAACTTTTTTTTTTTTGGAGGGGGGGGCAAAACTAGAATATTTGTATAATTAATTTAATATGTCACTTATATTAGTATGAAAATATCACACCATTGTTACTATTTTTGAAAAACTATGTGCACTGTGTATAGGTACTTTTAATATATTTATTTTATATTTTGGATAACAGTGTACAGTGTTTTACACTCGGTAAATAAATGTATGGGTATAAAACACCTTTATAATAAAATACCTAACCAAACCTAACCTACACATTTTTTATCCCTGTATACTCAAAAAATACAATATAGCTACCTAGCTTAATAAAATCATAAATATATTTTATGAATACCCTTCTTCACAATATTTGTGTAATAATTTTATCAATTATAATATTGATGGACCAGAAGCCACATTAAACATTCTTGGAAATTAAAAATTAGTACAATACATTTTTTTTTTTAATTCTGAAAAAATATAAAATATATATATAATATAAAACACTTAGGTATATCTGCGCTTTTATTTATTGTTGCCAGGCCAAAGAAGGCGTTCTAAAACAAAGTTGGTGCAAATGTACACCCTGTAACCCCCCCCCCCAAATGACGTCCCTGGGTACATTATTGGTATTATTGAAATTTCTTGGGGAGGTTAACCCTTCGCGGCGAAATGTCGGGGTTCGATATAAATGCGTATTTTGAGTTATTTTTGTTTTAGGACATATTTCTTAAATTTTATAACTTTTGAAATGTATTTTTAATTAATTATAAATTTTATCAATTTTTTCTCCACTCACATTTTTATTTTAAATGATAAAAACAAAACATACTTTTACTTAAATTTTTGTCGTATAACATGGTTTTTGACTGGCAGGTTCATGTTTTTCCTATAGAAAACCTATGGCTATAGAAACCTGATAATTCTATAAATTATAAAAAAATTGAATACTTAAAGTAGTAACACACTAACAAGTGGAAGCAATAAAACTAATTCAGAATAAAAAATTCAGTTAAATAAAATATAATAAACAGATAGAATATTCCTGTTTTTATTTTCAAATGTATACATTATTTGGTGACGCTTTAGGTATACAACTTACAAGTCATAGTGGCACATGCATACACTCCGTTGTAGTATTGTAGTACTGTACATCGCATTAATAATAACTAATAATTGTCAATTGATAACCTTCAATGGTTTGGCCGTGGGAAACGGTTAATCAATACTCGAACGTCACTTTAACCATGGTTGGTAGTTTATGTAGGTACCAAATTATATAATTATGTTTCTATCATCATTTCTATCTATTCATTATAGTTAAACACTGTTTGTTTCCTTATTTTTTTTAAACCATCACACTGATCTAGTGTAATTACATATTATTTAATTAATATTTATTAGTTTACTACGATGAGTGTTTATTTTTTTTTTGTTTCTGACGTAAAGCGTCGTACAAAATTGGGTGAGCAATTATTAAACAGTGTGAATGTTTAATTCAAAATTTTAATAAATAATGCGTTATGAAACTAATTTTATGTAATTTGTATATTATAATGTATGTACTATGCCGTCTATCAACGTGCCGCGGCTGATATTGTATGCAAAAACTGAACCCGCATTCACGAATACACAACTATAATAATATAGTCAGTAGTCTACGACCACCACCTTATGGCGCCTTACGCCTTTTTATCATGTCTCGTCCCGAAAAACTTCGAATGATTCGTTTTTTGTACCGTATTTACAATTTGCAAGTAAGTAGTGTAGCCCAGTTTTAATCCAGTTAAATAATTTTAAAAAACAATTACATTATGCTCGTATAGAATACGGACAAATAATTTCGTTTTATTATAATATTGTCTTGGCAAGGTGGGGTAGTGGTGTACGCCGGCGGGGTCGCATGTTTATGAAAATATTTTTAGACTGCAAAAACCCAATTGTCAACGACTGCAGTCGACGATGCAGCCACCACTCCACTTCCCGCCTACAACGTTATCGATAATTCCCACGTCTTCTATTCTGTCATATTATTCTATTACACATTTACACACAACATTTTATTTCGTATGATCTATTGACTATTATAATATTAATATTATAAAGAAACAATTCGACGTTGGACGATTGGACGGACGTCCTCTTACTAACTAGTAACTATAATAACATTGTCGATAGTGTTGCCGTTTTCGCCCCGCGGTCACGCATCTAGTTACGATATTTTAATGTTTTAAGAGAATCGTCGTAAAAAACAAATTAGAGAACACAGATAAAAGTTTGATAATATTATGTCAATTCACTCAAATATCAAAACTAACAGCACACTATTGTAACCGGTGAACGAAAATTGTCTTGGTTTTACAGGTGTAAGACCAGGCACGTATTTGGGGGGGGGGCTTTATTTTCAATTCTCCAATCAGTCCAATAAATAAGAAAGTTATTAATGTATCTATATTATTATAATTAATAAAATTAAGATCGGGAAAAATGCAATCAAATTAAATAATACATTTTTTTTTTTCAGTTTATACATAATTTTTATAATATGAGTATAAACCATAACTACTCGATAGGATATTAGGATACCATAGGTACTAGAGTCTATATTATTTCAATATTAATTAATATGAACAGTATTTTTTTTTACAATAAAGTTTTTTATAAAACCTATAATATGTTTATTTAACATTGGTCTCCCTAGAGAATTAAGAGATGACTAACAGATTGTGAATATGAAATATCGGAACGAATTCAGTATAAGGGGCCTGTTTTGCTCGGGACCTGTTTTTTTTGCTGAAAAGTCATAAACATTGTTCACAAGGAAAAAATCTCATGTCTCCATGATCCGATTTCGATAATTTTTTTTTTTTGAAAGAAACATTACTTACAGGGCGCATTGAACTTGGATTTTTAAAATTGTATTAAAAACCACATTATAATACGATGTTGAATTTGACTAATTTTCCCAAGATTTTGTGATTTTTTTTGTTTTAAGCGACGAAATTAAAAATCAAATGTGCCCTGTAGAAAATACGCTTATACGCTTTCTATTAAATTATACTTTTATCAGTGTTATCACTTTAAAATATTAACGTTAATATTTTTAAGTTAAGGTGCTATTGTTAAATTTTTGAATTAGTATTACGATGTATTTTATTATTGGTTTAGTATAGGATTATGAATAATGTACATTGTTCTTAATTGGCATGAGCCATCTATGTTCTGATTTTTGAACTATAAATAAAACCGATTAATACAATCGTCTATTTTTTTTATAGTCATTAGTTGGTATGCATATAAAAAAGAATACAATATTTTTCTACAGATGGAGCTATTTAAATCATTTCTAATGGTTGTTCTATAAATTAATTCATAAATACTATTATACACTATTTAAAATAATAATTATTGTTAAAAATAGTTACATTTAAATAAAAATGTCTTAAAAAATGTACCAAATACATAAAAAAAGGTAAGACATTCGTTTTATCGTATGCATTATGAATGTCTATTTTCATAATGCTTTAAATGTCTAGTGGACATATGATACTTATAAGGTTGAAAACCGACCGTGCAATTTGTCCGAACTCAGGCGACCTCATCTAATAGGTGAGAAAGCCAATAGGTATCTTTAGGTATTGCATCAATTGCAAATTGATAATTTGAGCAATTTTTGAATATGGCCGTAACTTTGTTATGGCCCTATAAATTATCATACAGTCTTAAAAAAGGGTCATACTTTGACGCCTTCACTCTGACTCACTGATTGATTAGATCGTGATAGGTGATGACCACTGTGTAGTGAATAGGTAGGGAGTAACAGCCTATACATATAATATACATACATAATATTATTATACATGTACATTGTGCATCTTCCGCTTAGTCTAATAAATGAACAATCCTATTTGCCTTAACTGTTTATATGAAATAAAAATATCTGATATACAAAGCTGAATTATGCAAAACTCATAATATAAAATATACCACCTCACTGGATGTCTTTTTTTTTTTTTTTTTTATTATTATACAATAAGTTATTATTAGCTATTGCTATCTATACCTAGAGATGAAAGGATAATTATTACATTTTGGCACGATTAAGTGCGATAATAAATTAATACAATTTTACGTTAAATGATAATATAGTTAGAGACTTAAATTAGAGTGGTTCTTGAGGAATTAGATCATGTTTGAGGCGGAATTGTGGAGGTGGTCTGATGTTGATGTGGTAGTGCAATGAGCCTGTTGACTTGTGGATAGATTCGAAGAAGCTCGCAGCCAAGAGCTTGATGTGGTCTTGAAGAGATGGAATTTTGAGGTCTTTGTGTATACTTCAGTTCCTTACAAACCATGGAGC